ATTTCCCTCTCCTACGAAAAAAAAATAAAAAATTTTCTTGTTTTATGCTAATTTAGTTATTTATTTAAAATTAGTTTAGTTGATTTTTGTTAAATTTATATTTTAAAAGTATTTTATTTATTATGTGTACTGAATAGTAGTTTATTTAATTTAATTTTGAGTTAGTGCATTGGAATTTGTCAATATATTACTTCATTTATTTATTATTTATTTATTTTTCTTTATTCAAAAAAAACATTTTTGTTTCTGTAACGTGATCTAATTTCCGTTTTGGTTTGTTTGTTTCACTTAAGCCTAAGTTTTATTTCCCCCTATGCACGTACATATACGCACATAGGTATATGTATATATGTATGTGCGTATATGTATATATGCGTATGTGTGTACATATGGGAACAAAATTTACATATATGTACTTTTCCTTCTAATTGAGTTGTCAATCACATCTTGTTTAAACTTCTAATTTCTTAAAACTATTGTTCTTGAGGTTTTACCCCTTTATTTATTTTATATATTTATAATTTTGCTTTCTAACTTAAAAAAAAATTTAACTAAGCAATCAAATTATTATTATTATTTTTTTTTTTTCTCTTTATAAATAAGAGATTTTAGTTTAGACCCGAAGGACTCACGCACGTGTTGCAGCAGGCCTTGGTGGGGGCCTGCTGTTGTTGTTGTTGCAGGATTCGTGTAGCGCTATGGTAGCTGCGCTGGTTGTTGTTGGTGTTGCGCGCTGTTGTTGCTGTTGCTGCACGCTATTGTTGCTGATGTTGTGGTGGTCTCGCTGGTCGTTACCGCTGCTGAGGCGGTGGCGGTTATTGTCCGGGTGTTGCAAAGCCGCTGCGATGGCGTTAGTGGTTGCCGCACGTTGTTTCCGCTGATATGCGGTTGTGGTTGTACTGCGAGTTGTGTTGTCCTTGTGTTGCAAAGCCGCTGCGATGGCGTTTGTGGTTGCGCTGGTAGTTGCAACCGCTGTTGTGGCGGTAGTCGTTGCTGACGCAACGTAGTGGTTGCCGCACGTTCTTTCCGCTGATATGCGGTTGTGGTTGTACTGCGAGTTGTGTCGTCCGGGTGCTGCAAAGCCGCTGCGATGGCGGTTGTGGTTGCGCCGT